CCACTTCGTGTGTGATCGCTACAGGCCCGGCCTGTGCGTGAAGCTTCTCAGTATCGATGCCCGGCATCGACACATCACGGTATCTGTGCCCCGCACTGACACATTGTCCTTGGTCGCAGCAGGTGTCGCCTGCTCGTGGTTCTTCACAGTGTCAGTGCCCGGCACTGACATGTCGCTTTGTCGTGTGCGGGCTCTCGCTTTCGCACGTGCCATCGCAGCTGATAGATCCGTATCAGCTGTCTTCTGCGGTTGTTCGGACGCAACAGTAGAACCTCTCCCACTTAAGGAGGAAGCCACCGCCCCGAGTGTGCTTGGAAGGCGTGGATGCCGCATGGCGTTCACGAAGAACGGTGTATGCCCAGTCGAGGCATGCACCGCGTTGTTGATGGCGAACTCGGCCATCGGCAAGTAGTCGCTCCAGTTGTGGAACGACTGGGCGTAGCTTTTCAGCAAGTCCACGAGCACGCGGTTCACACGCTCGGTTTGCCCGTCCGTCTGCGGATAATCCGCAGTCGACATAGAGAACCGTGTTCCAAGAAGTGTGAACACTTCTTGCCAGAAACGCGCCGTGAAGCGCGGATCGCGGTCCGACACAAAGTCGTTGGGCATGCCATGGTGCTTGAACACCATGTCGACGAACAGACGTGCCGTCTGTACGGAGGTCACCTCCGCTGCGACAGCAGCGAGATGCACCATCTTGCTGAAGCGGTCCACAAAGACCACAATACCAGTCTTCCGCCTGGAATCGCGCGGAAGACCAAACACGAAGTCCATCGAAACGGACTCCCAACACTCCGACGGAGTCGGCAGTGGTTGTAGGGGAGCCTGCGAGTGAGTGCTGGCAAACATCACAAATACGTACGTACTTGCGCACCCACTTGTACTGGTGGTTCCAGTAGAAGTCTCGCGTGAGAAGGGAGTACGTCTTCTCACGTCCTGGATGTCCCGCCGTGGGGACATCGTGATACTCGTACATGATCCTGCTGCGCAGGTCAGGATCATTCGGCACGACAATGCGTTCCGCATTGTCGTCTACAGCGCTGTAAAGCAGTAGACCGTCGTGCACACGATACCGGTGTGCACTCGCTACTTCCGACGTGCTTTGTCGGAAGGAGCTGAGAGGAACTCGATCAGCTGCTTCACGTCTGCGTCATGCGCACACGCGACTTCACCTCGTCCAACAAGCACGACAACGGTGTGTAGGTCCGAGCAACATCAACCCGGTTGATGTCGGCTGTCTTGACAGCGTAGTCTAGTCGTCGTGACAACGCGTCCGCGACGACATTCAACCTTCCGGGTTTG